GGGAGAGTAATGTTATGTACTGTTTAATATGCAATAACAAGGCGTTCTATACACACGCATGCGCACACACTCCAACACATGTATTAGTGCTGTGAGTTGGCTTAGTTTTCAATCCGTGAGTGAGTCAACATTGACAGGCCATTAACTGATAACATATAGGGTAGTCCGTTCAAAAGTGGAATTAATTGTAATCATATGGAAACAGAGCTTATGGTTTGACGGTATGCTTAAAGAGCTGGTTTGGGGTGATTTGTGATCTAAAAAGGAACAAAGTAACATAGTTGCCCATTCGGCCGCGCCATAGCTCAAGTGGTTAGTCGCTGGCTTCCCATCGCGGCGGCCCGGGTTCGATTCCTGGTCTGGTCAGGTGGGATTTGTGGTGGATAAAGTGGCGCTGGAGCAAGTTTTCTCCGAGTAATTCGATTTCCCCTGCCAATCTTCATTCCACCAATTGCTCCACAATCACCCTCACCTATCATCTGGGGCTGGTACAATAGGTTAGAAGTGGCCGCAGTAAAAGGGACGTACACCTCCATCTTCAGGGTAGAAGACAAGAAGAAATCCGCGAGCGAACCAGCTAGAGCAGGTGCAACAGACTGTTGCGATGCGTTCCTCCGAAACGTCGGTTAACACAATTTCTACACGGTGCCACATCCCAGAAGACAGCCTTTTTCATATTGTGAAAAAATTGTAAGTGGAAGAAAAAGGAACAGTTTGTTGCATTATTGACAGACTGTGTTATACATAGGCGTCTCCATTTTGTTGTCACAGAAACAAGCTTGATCAGTAACAAAATGGCCGCGGTGAATGTCAGACCATTACCTCCAAGTAATGACAATGATAGGTTGGGCGTCTGCCAGATATTTGTATATAGCTCTACTTTTCCCTCTACAGTACCTTCCGTTTGAGCACATAGGTTGATCTTAATCGTTTCAACACAGCCAAACCGGTTGTACTACCACTGCCCGTAACTTTATTTTTGGCAAGGGCTCCACTTAACAGCTGCGTGACCTTGATGCATTCGAAGCGGACCGCGCCTAACTACGAAAACAAACCACACACAAAACAGCGCAAATAACACGCTTGTATTCCTCTAAATGTTTGTGACAATGATTGATTTATTACATCGATATTATGCTGGACATTTTTTCATTGTCTGAAATATATTTGATGGAGATAGCTGTAAGTCGATCTTAAGGTCACTGGTTGACTTAGAGTTCTTGGCTACAGATCCTGAGGTCCGGGTTCGATTCCCGTCGCTACCAGATTTTCTGAGAAGTAGTGGGTCTGGAACGGGGTCCACTCAGTCTTGTGAGGATAACTGAGGAGTTGCTTCAAGAATATAGGGATTCCGGTCTAGAAAACTGAAATTAATGGCCGTGGGGATTCGTTGCACTGACCACGCGACACACTCTATTCGCTACAGTTGGAACTAACTGCAGACAAGCGGCGGTCGCTCGGTCGGTATAGTTCGCTTGCGGATTAAAACCACGGAGTTTGTTGTTTGTTTGATGACTGTCTAGATCAAATCTGGCACAGTGAAATATGAAGACTCTTGTGTTAACCACTATAGTATCATAACCACTAAATGGAAAATCTGCAACATAATTCTCAACAAATAACATTATTCCGTTGGTAACAATGCACTTCAGAAACGTAAGGCAAACGACCTCGTGTTGAAACCATCTCTAATCAAAAGCGGTTTTGACACATATTGTAGATACCTTTGATTCTGAATTATGAAACAATGAATGACGCGATATTGGGTTAAAATGTTTAGGTTATTTGAGGTCATTTGATTTTTTTTTCAATTGACCTATTCCTCCAACCGCACTATATCCCTGGAGTCGACTCAGCCTCTAATAGAAATGAGTACCAGGAATCTTCCTGGGGTATAAAGGGCGACCGGCGCGTAAGGCTGACAATCTTACCGTCATCTATGAGCCGATTGTCTTGAAAATGTGGGAGCCTTGACGTCTCACAACCCTATGGACCTTCACGTCCTGTTACAGGGATAGCTTTCTTATGATGGCATCATTGAGAGTAGTAAATATTCTATATAACAGCCCCAATTGATGCGTTAAAAAGTGCTTAGATAATGATTCATCATTTTCATACTAAATGGTGACATCCATAGACTTGACGTTCCCGTGAGATCATTGGGAAATGGTAAAGAAGCTTCCTTTCTCAACCTCTTCCTCTGCCCTATCACTAATTTGCAGACTTACAGGCTGTACTTATTTATAAACGGAAGTCAAGGGAGGCATACA